TCCTGTGCCCATTTTCCAATTGGATTGTTTCTCTTTATCTTGCTGTGGTACTTGAGTATTTTATAAATTCTAGCCTAGGTCTCTTATCTGATATATCAGTACCAAATATTTTTTTCCTACTCTGTATTCCCTTTTTATCCTGTTGGAGAAGTTTTTTGCTGTCATTGGATCTGATTTTTAGAAGATCCTATTCATCGATTTTATCCTCTCCTAATTGTAGATTTTTCAAGATACTTGGAAGACTGTTTCTGTTGTGGATTTGGACTTCTCGAGTTTTTCCAAGCTTTTATTTAATGAAGTTTACAGTCCTTTGTTTTTGTCCTAGATCCATGATCCACTTTGAGTTGGTTTTTGTATATGGAGTGAATTGTGGATCTTGCTTGATTTTCTGTCATTCTTGGTCATTGTCTAGCTCTCTGATACCTAGCAAGTATTTGTGAAATTCCTGACTTTTATTAGGTGCCCCTTAGCCTCTAGACTGATATAGTTGCTTTCCAGTATTCTGGAGAGGTCCCTGACAGCAAATTTTCCCAATGCAATTTGTCTTTTCATTTCCTGACTGCTGGTGCCAAGAATGTTGATTATCAAGTCAAGCAAGCTGTAACTGTTAACAATCTCAATCTCTTCTTCATCAATCATGGTGCTGACAAATGGCCTAGTGGTGAGAATCTTTGTCTTCTTGTTGCTGAAGTTCAGTAAATATTTAAGACTACAGTCCTTGACCTTCTGCAGCAAGTGCTTCAGAACCTCCTCAGTTTCAGCAAGTGTATCATCTCCATAACATAGGCTGTTGATGAGTCTTCTTCCTAATTTTGAAAAATGTAGTATTTCCTTGCTCTGTTCTGAGGACTGTGTCTTGGTCTAAGTTTCACATAAGCACAATCTAGTGTTCTGAAATTTTCATTTTCCTCATGGTTAGCCGCAATTTGCTTTTGTCCACACAGTCAAATGCCTTTGCATAGTCAATGAAACACAAATAGACATTCCTCTAGTACTCTTTGCTTTCTGCCAAGATCCATCTGACATTGACAATAATGTCTCTAGTGCCACGACCTCTTCCAAAACCAGCTTGTATTTCTGGTAGTTCTCTGTCAAAGTACTGTTCCAGGCATTCTTGCATAATCTTCAGCAGGAATTGGTTTGTGTGTGATATTAGTAATTGTTGTTGTTGTTGTTGATTGCCTTTGAGTCAAGCATGGCTCATAGTGACCCTATGAATGAACAAAAAAGCCTGAAGCCGCTCTGCAGCTATCAACATTTATCAAAGTTCATAGAGTTTCCAGAGGCAAGATTTTTGGTAAGTGGATGTCACTCCGGCTTCCAAACCTGTCATAGAATGATATTAGTAATAATGACTGATAATTTCCACACTCTGTTGGGCCACCATTTTTGTTGCAGTGGGAATAAATATACATCTCTTACAGTGAGTTGTCCAGGTAGTTGGAAAGACATCTACTCAAAATATATAAGTTAAATTTTCATCTTCTACTTCATTTTTCTTAAACCTCTTTTCACCTTTAGTTTCCAGATACCGAAAGCTAAGTTTCTTTTGTTGGCCAGGCCATTTCTTTGTCTCCTTTGTCCTCTCCTCTTCTAAAACATGTTGTAATAGTTGAGGGTTGGATTTTAGTCTCATTTAACTTTCTTTAATTATATCATTTTTAAATATTAACTTCATCCAATTATTTGGTTTTAAACAGTATATACTTGCTAAGAACTGATAAAGACATACGTATATCTAGATCTCTGGGTTGAACTTAAAATGGCTATTATAAGACCCTACTTATTGTTGTTATGTGTCATCAAGTTCACTAACAGTACACCTGAACTTGCACTGTTATTCTTGTGATCTCTATCATGCTTGTCAAGCTCTTTGTGACAGTCACTGTATCAGTGCTTCTCATTGAGGATCTTTGTCACTTTCCCTGATCTTCTGGCTTACCCAACATGTTGTCTCTCTCTATGGGCTAGTTCTTCCTGAAATGCCCAAAGTAATTGAAACAGTTTCATCATCCTTGCAGCTAAGGAGCAGTCTGGTTATGGAATGATCTTTGCCAACACCATGACTTGAAAACATCAATTTGGTCATCTTTATTTGTTTTCCAACAATTGAAAAGACCATTGCTTGGATCAAGTGCTTCTTAGTTTTTAAACTGACCGCCTTAGTCTTTAGAACTTTGGAGAAGTCCTTGATAGCAGATTTTTCCAAATGAAACACTGTTTTAAAAAATTGTGTACATTTTCAGGGTTTTATTTGTTTTATTATTTATTGTGATTTTAATGGAAGTTTATACAAAGTTCATGTTTTCAGTCATTCATTAGTAGACATGTTCCTTCTTTCCTACTTTCCCCCCTTCTCCTAATTCACATTGTAATGCACTTCTTTTTTCTGATGTATGTCACACAAAACATGCCTAATCATTGATTCCTTTGCTTGAAAGTTGTTCCACAGCACTATTTATTATCTATCCACTCTTTTCTTATTTTCCCACGCCTGTGTCAGTCCTATTTTATAATAGCAGTCTTATGGAGTATTTGGCCTACTTTAATTGAGGTATTTCACTCATCATCATGTCTTTCAGACCCATTAATGTTGCATATTGTTTTTCAGTGCTGCATAGTACTCCATTGATTGAATGTGTTACAGTTTCTCTACCCATTTGTTTGATGAAGGGTAATTGAGCTGATGCCGTCTCCTCATTATTGGGAATAATGTTGCAATAAATTTAAGTGTGCATACATCTGTTTGTATCATGGGTCTGATTTCTTTAAGGTATATTCCCGGTTGTGAGATACCTGGGTTAAATGATATTTCCATTCTCAACTTTTTGAGAAAGTGCCATATCACCTTGTACAGTTGTTGCACTATTGGACATCCCCACCATTAATGATAGCTAGGCCTCCAAAATATATTTTAAATATATATTTCCTCTCTCAACTCTGTATAATTTTAGTCCCCCATTATCTCTTATTTAGATGACTCAAATTTTCTTTTCTTGATTTTACTTCTTGTGCACCACCAAGTAAATTCTGCCTCCTGGATGCTTCATATGACAGAGAAAAATTGTCTCTCCCCCTTCCCCCACCTTAGAGTGCCTTGGTGGCATAGTGGTAAGAAGCTGCACTACAATCTTAAAGGCATGTGATTCGAATCACCAGCTTTTTGGGGGAAAAAGAATGGACCATATGCTCCTGCCTGATTGACTATCTCTGAAAGCCCAATGAATGGTCAGCTATAGATTAGTCTGACTTGATGGCAAACAACAACAGCAGTAACATGGGGTTTTTTAGGCAGCTGTGGTGACTTAGTGGTAAGGAATTCTGCTGCAGACCAAAAGGCATGCAGTTCTAATCCCCAAGCTGCTCCTCCTCAGGAGAAAGACAAGCAATCTCTTTCCATATGATTAACTGCCTCTGAAAACCCAGTGGAGGGTCATCTATGAGTCAGTTCCTACTGGAATGTACACAACACCCACAATGAAGGTTCTTGTTCTGCAATCTAATGAAAGACTAAACACTTCATTGTTGTTTTCTTTTTCCCCTCCCATAGAATAGACAGTGGTTTCAAACTTCTGACCTTTACATCTCAGCCAAGAACTTAACAATTGTGCCACCTTGGGCTCCTTCCATCTTTCTATTGCCACCTAAATTCACTCTAATTCATTTGCTACAAAATAACCAGAGTGCACACATTATTAGATCATGGTTCTTCTCAAAAAGTACTTTAATGGTCTTCTTTTTTTCTTAGGATAAATTTCAAATCTGTTAACTTGAACTGCACTAAAAATCTCGGGTTCAAACTCATCACTTTTGAGTTTAAACAGCCTTGTAGATCCTCCAGCAAGTTTCTGGAGGTTATAAATCACACAGAAGGAAATTTCTATCTTTCTCCTATAGAGTAGCTGATAGATTCTTACTTCCTGTCTTTGGGTTGGCAATGCAACTTTTTATGTAGTAGGCTGCCATATCTCCCTAACATAAATGATAGTGTCCTGGTTCTCAGATTTTGCTGATAGATTTTATAAAGGAGAAAATACAGGGCATATATTAAAATATGTTTTATTTAATTAAAAATGTTGTTGGTTGCCTTTTAGGTGAGCATGACTCATGGTGACCATATGAACAAAAGGCTTGAAGCCCCCGTAAAACTTTCAACATTTATCAAAGTTCATAGAGTTTCCAGAGGCATGTTATTTAGGAAGTGGATGCCACTCTTGCTTCCAGATCAAAAACACAATCTTTATAACTTTTTTATGTATTTTACTAATAATAGAATATTGAGTCTAGCATCTCCTTAAAACAGTAGGGTTGTTTAAACTTTATCACCTTGTAACTGATACACCATTGTTTCCCAAGGCTATAAATCCAACAAGAGGAGATTAGCCATCTTTCCAAATGGAACAGCTGGATATCTGAAGTATGTCTTTACTTGAAAAGCTTTGGGGAAGGCTTTCTTACTTTGTGGGATCTTATGAGCGATGTTTATAGTGATTTTCATATCACTTGACATCTCACTTTTTCCATCTGTTTATTTCCTTTATTCTTTTAATCTGTACAGAGAAAGATCTTATTTAATTCTGTTATATGATATGTAAATATTTGTCAACACTTTAATGAAGACAAGTCATTCATGATGAACTGGACTTAAGGGATATGTGGTTACATATACCCACATAACAAGTCTAAAGCCATAAGCCTCTACATTAGGAGACTATCATCTTTCTCTTGCAGAGTACCTGGTAGAGTTGGATAGCCAATCTCTAGTTAGAAGCTCAACATGTGTAACACACTATACTACCAGAATGCCTTCAAGGTGATCTGATGTCTTTAATTGGTTCAGCCATTTGTTCTCACTTTAATGAAATGATTCAGTTAATAGTTTCTTACTCTTTGCAATTGCTTCTACACAAGGAACTGTATGGATGGAACCTGCATTTTTACTGCAAAAATATCTTACTGTTAAAGAAAACTAGTTGCCTATCATTTCTCCATTGTTTTAGGTGTAACAGTACTTGAAGGCCCTATCTATGCTGTGGGAGGCCATGATGGTTGGAGCTACCTGAACACAGTGGAGAGGTGGGATCCTCAGAGTCAGCAGTGGACATTTGTAGCCAGTATGTCCATTGCCCGCAGCACAGTTGGTGTAGCAGCATTAAATGGCAAGTAAGTAGGTTTCTTTCTTTTTAAAAAACTATATGAGTTTAATGAATTATTTTCATATTAAAAAAGTTTTCTTATGTTAATATAATAAAACAACTCTTAGTATTTTAAGTGTTTTCAAAGATAATTGATATATTTTGGGGACTTGGAATGTTTATTTTTTTCTCTTTGCTTTATTTTCTTAAACTAAAACACAAACTAAAACCAAAACACACTCCTTTGCATCAGCTTTCAGTGATAAAATCATTAAAATATTTCACAAGAATTTGACACACTACAGCCCTGTATATTTATATAATTTCTCTATACTCTGAGTAGCTTTCAAAAGATCAAAATCTTGGTGACCATTATATTTTGTACTTGCAATATTGTACTAGTCTGTAAGTCTGTACTTTTTTTAACATTTCAATTTGTATCGCTCTAAATCAGGATCTTTAGTCTCACTATTCTTAACATTTGGGGCTAAATCATTCTTCAATGATAGTGTGAGGTGCTATGCTTTGGGTGAAATTTAGTAGTAGGATGAATACCTTTGAACTCTGATAATGATGAAGAGTACTGAATAGTCTACGGAATGCTGTAGCGTTAAGGGTTTATTTTTCAGAATGGCTTTCCTATCCATGGACCTTGACTTTCCATTTTGAATGGACAGGAATGTACAAATAGGGTGTGCAAGTGTATCCATAAGAGGACTGGCTGGTCTCGCCATTAAATTGAGTAAAATCAGCAACAGAATTTTAGAATCCCACCTCCAACAAAGACAAACGGGAAAAAACAAAACAGTGTTTCCTTCTAGGCCAGAGATTCTTGTGACAGCCAAATCTACAAGAGAGTAGTAGTTGCTGCTGTACAGAACTGGAGATCTGACATGAGACAGAGAAGAGCTTGGGACTGCTACTCCACAGAACCAGAGCTAGGAGCCTTCACAGAAGTTTGCTGGAGGACTGGTAGGAGAGCACTAATTGGAAAGATTAAGAGCTTTTTAGCACTGACCTAACTCCATGAGACTGATGCCTTAAGGACGTGTGAGCATGCTTTGGAAGCAGTCGGGACCAAGGAATTGCAACCTGTTGCCAATTGAACTTGTATCTTATTATTTTCCCTAATATGTTGTTGTTGTTGTTATGTGTCATCGAGTCGTTTGTGACTCATAGCGACCCTATGCACAACAGCCCTAAACCCTGCTCTATCCTGCGCCAACCGCACTGCCTCTGACACACAAATCCCAATTACCCCAGTCACCGAATCAATCCATCTCATAGAGGGTCTTCCCCTTCGGCTTTGTCCCTCCACCCTCCCAAGCATGATGTCCCTCTCCAAGGACCCGTCCCTCCTGGCAACATGTCCAAAGTATGTCAGACGAAGCCCAAGAATCCTTGCCTCCAAGGAGTAGCTTGGTTTAATCCTCTCCAAGATGAATCTGTCTGTTTTCCTGGCCGTTCATGGTACATTCAGTACCCTT